ATGCACTCCTTTCTTGGGAGAATTCTTCCAAATCCAGCCTTCGGCATCATCCAGCGGTTATATAAATGTTCAGGCAGGTTAAACGTCTTGAGTTTTCAGCTCCCTATTGGGTTTTATTCAGCCACACCGTACACTTGCCCTTTATTTTAGTAAGATGATGCGACTATTTTAATACCCCTTTTTTCTCTATAGGACGGTTGCTGATGTGCAGGCTTTCAAGAGTGCTTTCAAAGCTAGCATCTCGCAGGGCTTGCGTAGCGTAGCTCAGGTCTGTTGTTCGCAGTAAACTGTTGTATGCTTTGTTAGTCTTTTTTTAGAAAAGCGTGTTTTTTTTTATTTATGACCATAATCGGCACGCTACTGCGTCGCTGTCACACCTTATTTTAATCTGCAGCATCTATTCCAGTAAAAATCTACCAATTCCTTTCTTTAGCTCAGAAGGTAATTTTATTTTTAGGTTATTGGATCCACTGTAGCCATGTACATAATCTCCCCCACTCTCTGTGCTGCACTGATTGGCTGTCTTCCTCTCGTCTTCCTCGTTGGCAGTCTGATTGGCCACCAGTTACGTATCCTGAGCCACCATGCCCAAGATCAAGTATGCTATTTCTCTGAAGTTTTTAATCTATCTCAGTTTTATTTATGAGCATACAGCTTGTTGCTGCGGACATTGAAGGTATCGCCTTTCAAGGAGGCTGTTTACGAATCTGGCAATGTTAGAATAGCCTGCACACTTTATTGATGTTGACTTGCGTCTGCCAATGTGATATTTTGCCCTTTATCTCCGTTGGCTTGAGCGGAATTCCGTAATCGGACGTGTTGCTTTGAGTAACTCGGTGCTTAAAATGTAGTATGCAACTTCATACCTATGTAATTTTCGCGAATTTAGCAAGCCTTAAAGGTATCTATAAATCTGACGCGACATCTCAATCACCATAAAGATTTGCCTGTATTGTGATTTCATCCAGTTAGTCCTGTGTGCACGGACGAATGAAAACGGACAGTATTGGGCCTTTTTACTGAATGTCGATTCGACAGGTCTCTTATATAAATTTTTAGATACCAGAGTGATGGTGGGCTGCTTTTTTTTTACAAAAAACTAATGGTTATAGTGTCAGGGGGGATTTTTTTCAAATTTACTCTCCAGTCAAGCAGATCAATTTTCCATTCCATTTTTTACGCAACCTAGTAATAAAAATTGGCAGTGATCAATAAAAGACGCCTTCTCCCTTGCCCTTTAGGATGAAGTAGCCACGGAGGTCGCTTCCGAAACCTTCATGCACATACGTTCAGTAAAGTCGTTGACAATGGAGCCTGTGATGATGGCGTAAGTCTGTCCTCGTGTGTGCTTGATGTTAGTGCAAGTCATCAGGTTCATTTTTAAAGCGAAGCCTCTTTGTTTAATATGCTGCTGAAAATCCCATTTTCCCGCCCAGAAATGGAGTACTGCAGTCAGGTGCGCGGATTACATCAGCATCCTACTGCTGTTGGAGTTGTTGAGCTAAGAACAAGAGCTCTTGCCTAGTTTATCTTCCATCCTCTGTGGCACAGTACACCGCATTTTGAGGATTATGTCACTTGACTGGCTAATCATAACCGTATATGGCTAAATGTTAGCACAAAGTTAAGAAAGTTGATTCGAATGCTGGATAGAGTTAGTACACACGGTGTATCGACGTAACTAGCCGTAGCAGTGTTCGTAGGCTTTGGCTCTGCAGCCGCTACATTGGACTCGCAGATGCCAGTTTTTTTTT